TGCTGCTGCTGCTCTGTGAACCACACTGTTGCAAACTCTGCTCACTTTGGACCACCTACCTCAGTATCAGTGTGACCTGGGAGCTGGTTAGAGATGCAGAATCTCAGACTCCACCCAGACCTATTGAATCAGGATTAGCAGTGTCACATAAACCCAGGTAACTCAGATGTACATCAAAGTTTAGGATACACTGCTCTGAAAAATGAGAACTGCCGGTCATACTCTGGGGTGAGGGTGTGTGGTGTGCTGAATCATGCCCCCAGGCAGAATATTTGTCCATATCTAAATCCCTGGAACCTGTGAATGTGACTTGATTTGGAAAAAGTATTTTTACAGATGAAATTAAGGATCTTGAGACTGTCCTGTATTACCTGGATGGGCCCCAATCAAATGATAAATGTTCTTATGAGAGAAAGGCAGAGGCCAATTTGAGACAGACAGGGGGAGGCAGCATGATCACAGAGGCAGAGATTAGAGGGACGTGACCACAAGCCAGGGACACCAAGAAGAAGCTGGACAGGAAGGATTCTCCTCTAGAGGCTTCAAGAAGGGGGCAGCCATGCTGTTGCCTTGATTTCAGACTCTGGTCTTCAGGACAATGAGAGACTCTATTTCTCATACTTGAAGCCTCCCAGTTTATTATGGCAATTTGAGGAAACCGACCCATGGAGGAAGTGCCACACCTCATCCAAGTAAGAGCCTATGGTATTAAGGGAGGAGGTGGATTCTTCAGCTTCACCAGCTCAGAATAAAAAGGCTCATGAAACCACTGAACCACCGACCTTTGCTCTGAGCAATTCAGAAAGGGACTGGGAATTGTGAGAGAATAAGACAGGAGTCAACGGAGGTCTAGAAAGACTATGGGAAATATGAAAAATATAGCTGGTAGATCTGCGGAGGAAGAAGAACGTGAAAGACAAAAAGCAAACACACACCAGATTTGCGGGGAGAGAACAGCAGGTCTGGGGCCAGAAGACTGGGCAGGGTTCCCTGAGCACTGGATCTGAGGCAAACTGAGGGGCACTGTGTAGGGAAGGGGCTACTAAGAAGACTCGTGTGGAAGGACTTGCAGAAGATCTAGGGAAGCAGCAATACAGGCTACTGAAAGGGACTAGAATGAGACCTAAGAAGGAGAACCAGGAACAATTGCATTGAAATAGGATGGGAGGTGCTTTTTTGATTTATTTGGAAATGAATTAAACTTGCAAAATTTGCATAGTGTTACCTTTCCTGGTCATTGGTGTAATCAGTGTGATCATTAAGCACAAAATACCATGGATTTGTGATCCTGTGGACATGATTGATCATTACGCTGAGAGGCTGGAAGTTGACTTCTTTGATGTGTGTTCCATAGCACCAGTTTTGTGACCTCCATTAGAAAATGTTCAAATCCTCACTACTCAGTTGTAAAGGGGGTGTCAGCCCTTAGACTTGGAGAATCTGAAGTTGCAGGCAGAGTCCTAAGGTACATCTGGTCCAACCCCTGATGAGTATGAGCACCCTCTCCAGTAACAATGACAAAGATTACCCAGCTCCCACTGCCTGGCTCTGTTTTTCTTGTTCCAAATGCATAGCCAGTTTATTCATTGTCTTAGGCTTATTTAGCAGCATTTAGTAGACTGCAAAGACCACATTTGAGAATGTATACATGTGACACCAATTATTCTTATGAATTTAATGGAACTTGCTTTTCTTAGTGGTTCAAAGATTCTTCCATTATTCATCCACCAAAAATCTATTGAGTTCATGTTGTGTGTCAGACACTGAGATGAATAAAAATCATGGATGAATAAAAAACATGAATGGCTAGAGAAAACATATTGATCAATTGACTTTGACTCCTTAATATAGTCAAACCAAATAACTGCTTTGACCCACCCTAGGCTGGTGATTAAAGAGACAGCCCAAAGTCCCCAGTCCTTGTTTTTCAACTTATTTTCATGCTGGTGTGGCCAGTCAGGGCTAGGATAGGGGCAAAAATTCACCGGTTTTCTTACTACCTGATTTCCTACCTCACCCCAATTTAATACCTATACCAATTAAAATGTATAGTCATTTATCATTATACTGTATTTGATGTTACAAAGGATCAAATACCACTTTTAGTTAGATCATAGACTTTGGGATATGACAGGGGTTCAAATTTCTAGCTAAGTGGGTAGGGCAAGTTATTCTTGAAGAGTCCGTTTTATTACCTGCAAAATGGAGAATGTTCTCTACCCTGCAAGACTGCTGTGTGGTTTAAATGAGATACCTGGTTCATGGTAAGTACTTGGTGAGTGAACAGCTGTCAGTCGTGGTACCCTAATGATTTATAACAATTCCTTCCTCTTCACACTTGCCTCAAGGACCACACACAAAGTTGTGTCAGCCACTCCTGCATTGTCTTGGGCAGGGATTTCTGTTAAGTGGGAGTTTACTTCTGTGTTTTGGTGGTTTCTAGAGCTATGTGAATAGTAAAAGCAGCAAGCTGCGTTTTGGGAAGGTGGCAAGCCTGTCAGAGAGAAAGTGTTAGGGGCCAGGGAAAATGTTCATTTCAGCAGGGAATGGAGGTACTACTATTAAGCTCTCAGTGATCCAGTTGGTTTGAGTGTAAACCAAGGCCACTCAGAAGGAAAAAAAAAAAAAAAAGATGATTTGCTTCAGCAAGTCCATTGGCTTGCTCACAAGTTCCAATAGGGCATAAAGGGACTATCTGTGAACGAACTGTGTTCCATAAACATACTCATACCCCTGCAGCAGTAGGTCAGGGCATATGCAGACATTTTACTGTTTGGGGGCTGACGCTCTGCCCGTTGCCACACACTGGATGCCCACATCATCTGTTCAGTGACCTCATTGCATGTTTGACCTGAAAAGGAGATTGTCTTATACACTTTGTTTGTGATTAGGGCTTAGATACAAAGGGGAAAATGGTGTTATGTGTATGAAGCAAAATAGTAACAGAACAAAAGCATCAGAAATTACTCGGAGAACCTCTGGTGGAATCATATTTATGGATCGGTCTACTGAGGTCCAGACTGGGGAGAGGACATAGCCTGTTTTTTTTGTATTGGCGTTTTCTAGATACCACTATGTCAACCTTCCATTTTATTTTGACTGTATAGACATAGGGTTTGAGTACATAGAAGCATAAAAAAGGCAGTAGGTGTTCCAAGGGAATCAGATAGGTGAAGTACATTGATCTAGTCTGATTTTCTCTCCTATGCTGCTCCAGCCAGAACAACATATGCGGTGTGTTAATAATAATTGAGTGATTTAACCTGGATACAATAAATCTAATCCTGGCCTTGCTTTCTAAATAATTCAGGGGTCTGAATTATTTAGATGATTGTCTATAGACCAGACTACAGAAATATCCAGACACACAGGCATATTTCCATGTACTTTTGGGCCTAGAGATGATTCAAGTAATTTTAAGGTCAGTATTTCCTTCTTTACGAATGTCCATCCTTGAATTCTTAGAATACCTGCCTCTTCTTTACTCAGTTTCCAGGGTCAGTTGAGAGTGTCTGTGAGCAAGAGGGTCTGTTCAGTACTGATCTTGAGAGTAAATATGGGAAGGATTACAAAGAAAGAAAAGAGCTCCTTCTCTAAAGGAGCTTACACTTATGCTCAGGTGTTGTCCTATTGCCAAATGGTAAGATGAAAAGAATATTCAAATGTTGCGGTGGCGGTTGACTCAATGGCAAACACTTACATTTTGAAAATGAGTTTAATTTTTTAGCTTTTAAATGACATTCAGTTGAAACAATTGTAACACAAGTGGTATTTAAAACTTTAATCTATTTATTCCCTCTACCAAGCTAATTCACAAGGTATATATTTTATCCATGGCTACATGTGATGATTCAACAAACTATACCATTGTTTAGTCTCCATAATAACTATTAAATCTGAGGTAGGATAAATAATGATTGCAGGGGTTCTACACTGATCACCTTCTCTACTAATCTGTTGCCCTTGGCTTTGGGGTCATAGAAAGAGAGGGGGAAACATCAAGGGAGAAAGATAATGCTGTGGGAGCAGCACTCCTTAGAAGTTTGAATCTACTGGGCTACAGAATGAGATAAAGAAGTCCTCTAAAGGACTTCTCTTCCTTCAAATCACTGTAGCTGCTGTAAGTGTTACTAGATACCATTACGTAAAGTTATTTCTTGGTTCCCATACTACTAGAACTGAGAACAATGAGAACATGAAAAAACATTTGAATTTTAAATGCATTGTGTGACTTTAAATTCCTACAACATATATATGGTCCCAATTATATATTTTGCTTGAGTAATTATTAAATTAGCTTGTATTTCCTGAATCTACACCAATTATAGCAGAGGTAAGTGGCTGAGGCATGAATTGAGAGACTGGGAATGGATAGTTTCCAATTTAACTTCTGGTACAAACAAGACACATGTGGATAAACAAGGGTCAACTGAATATAATTAATAGGAAAAGTAAAATGCTGAATTTGTATTTCTCCAAAGACTGTGAATACTCTATTCCCCGACCCCACCGAAAACCAAATCAAACACTTTTATTCACACTACCAGGTGTGTTTGACTCCAGGCACCCCTAGACGTTGGTCTGGTCTTTCTAATCGACTGGAGGGCTTCTGCCCCAGACATTCAGCTGCTTTTGGGGCAGGGCAGTGGAGATTCCATATCTGGGCCACCAGATATACGTTTTGCTGATGGTCTATGTTTTCCAACACGTTTTTGTGGAATTGGGCCTTTAAGGCTGCAATTTTTCACTGACCATTTTCCCTGCAAACTCTTGGCCTCTGTGTTTTCTCTTGCTCTTGATTCTGTGTTTCGGAAAAAAGCAGATGACCGATGTCTCCTGGTTTGCTGACAGCCCATAAAAGGTATGCCTATAAAATGTCATACACACTTAATGTTCACTATGAGGATGATATTCTGAGGATGATACTATGGCAAAGATGAATGGGTTTCTAGTGAACTACTGATTAGAAGTGCTCCAGAGTAGGTACTGACCAATCTTCTTCAGCATCCGTGGCACTTGTCTGATTTTCTTGGGACAAAAGTCATACTTAGGAGATCGCACATCTCATCTGGGTGCACGGCTAAGTTTTTTTTCACATGCATCTTTTCAATAGACACTCCTTGACCTTGCAATATCTGCACGCGGAATCGTCTCAGAAGTGTCACCAGGATGACTTTCATCATTACCATGGCGATGTATTTTCCCACACAGCTACGAGGCCCAAAACCAAATGGCTGAAAATACCTGTAAGGAACCTATGAAAATGATCAGCCAATTAGCTAGAATATTAAGGCTAGAATCATACAGTGTCTGTTCGATTTACTCTGAAAATACTGGTCAGTCAGCATACTCTGGTTTGGGGTCTCAGCCATACTGCTACTTTACTGAGATGAAGGACTATAACTCAGGTAAGCCCCTTTCTCCACCCAGTCTGAGCCATCCCCTAGGACTCACACACAACCTTGGACAGCATCCAGTTTTGCTTTTCATATAAATGTGCTTGGTAAAGCAATGCAGACCATTTTATCACAGCCATTGTTACTCACCTAGCTCTTTGGAACTAGCTGTACTACTATTCTGCAAATCACCAAAGCAAAGACTGTTCATGTCGTATAACTTAATGACAAAGGACAAATTTAGGGAAGATATAGATTCCCGATCTATCAGCATCTAAATATTTTTAGTTATGCAAAAAATTAATGGGTACCACATCCGTTGTCTTGCCCACATCTGGCCTTACATAGTGCCTGTCACATAGTAGATTCCCAATTAAGTTTTTGCTGACAAATTGTCAACATGGTATGGGTTGCTTATACAGAAACAGAGAGAATTGGGGAACTGGATTAATTGTCATTTTTCTATACCACATGCCAATGGAAAAAGAAGACACTAAAGAAACTATCTGGATAATACATGTTAAAAACATTATTGCCAAAATTCGACATAAGGGAAGCAGAATCTCCAGTATAGTTCACTGATAAAGAAAGAAAAAGCTGAAGCTCTTTTAATGACCAGGTCCTATTTTGAATGAGAATTAGTGCTTGTGGGGCCATTTCATGAACCAAAGGAAGACTGGAAAAACCAAATCTTTTGATCTCCTTTGATGTCCATCTAAGGCACAAGTGGACTTGCCTTTGCTGAGATGCTGCTGCTGCTGAATTTACATGATTACAAAGTAGTGACTGTAAATAGAAAAGTAAGTTGGTTGGGTTAAACAAAATTCACCTAATTTTAGCCAAATTCAAGTCCTGACTTTTTCACATTCTGACCTATCATGTGGCCACCATGTAGACACTTCCTACAGCTGGAGACCCAGCGTCCTTGGCGTGAGGACAAATGCGGTGCCCATGGCCCAAACTAGGGAAAAGGTGTGTTTCTGGTGAGGCTACAGGAGGGAAGAAGTAAATAGAATGAAACGTGCATGGTGCAAACACGGAACCAGAGAGGATTTAACAGCTGATGTCTTAAAGAGGGCCCTACTTAATTTTAAGGAAGAGCACTTACATTCTTGGCGAAGTTTTCAAGAGTAAATTCATTAGGCTTGGGGAAAAATTCAAGTCTGTGCATTCTTTCAATATTCAGGATGATGTTAGTCCCCTTTTTCACTGGGTAACCATCGATGACATCATCCTGTAAGGCTTTGCGCATGACTAAGTTCACAACAGGCTGGTACCGCATGGTCTCATTAATAAAGTTTTCCACCAGTTTTAATTTTTGTATATCATCAATCCTTATGTCTCTTTCACCTGTGGGAGTAGATAAAAATGACAAACAGGTAATGAGAGTTTCAACATGTGGTGGGCATTAAAACTCCTGTAGTTTTCACAGAACAGTTTGTTCTTGGTTGGAAAATATTTTATATTTGTCATTCTAATGCAAACCAGCACCCTGGGCAAAATATGGTACGTTCGGCCTACAGAGCATTTTATAAAAATTCAGATTTGAAGACAATTATCATAGAAGCTGGGGGATTTCATAGAAAAGCCTAAATTTTTATAAAAATTTAGAAAACCTGGAAACACTGGACTCACATCACTACATGGCAACAATGGGCTGAAGCTGAGTGGTTGGCGAGCCTTTGCAGGGGCCGTTTCTCTGTAGTCTTGTGCAGACCTCCTAATCCACTTCAAACAGTTGTCTGCCTGGCCTCTGAGGTCTTAGAGTTTTGTTCCCTACTCTAAAATCAGGGGGGCATTCACTCCTTCTCCAGTCAAAATGAGACAGTGACCTTACTCAGTTTCGATAACATTTTCTCCTCTGGGTACTTGTATAGCTCATCTGCCCAGGACATACCCTGTCGTGATAGAGTAGCAAGGAACACCCACCCCTGCCTCCTACTGCAACAAAATGGTGCCTCAGAGCAGCTCCAGGTGTGCTGGGGATTGAAGGACACCCGCACTGTCTCAGACTGGCCTGACATTAGTCAGAGAAGCTTGGGTTACTCTCAGAATTGGTAAAGCTTCACAGCATCCTCCAATGGGCTACCACCTTTGCAGAATCAAAAACAGACCAGGGTCCTGAGGCAGCCCTGTCTCCTGTACAACTATGCCATTCAGGAAAGGTCTCATTTGGTCAGAAAACTCTAACAGTCCTGCCCCTCACATACTGTTCTTTGTACATAGTTAAGGGTCTAATGGGGTGTGTTTTTCTGGGATAAAAAGGGAAAATGACGGAGAAGATAAGCAAAGGCATTCCCTAGGAAGCAATTACCATGGGTGGGTATCTAGAGGCAGCATGGACACATGTGCAAATGGTTCTAATGCTTTTTCATCTTTGCAGAGATCTTTTGAAGTGTCAGGATGTAATGAGGCACAAACACTTTTCGCTTCTCAAGGAAATTGTATCAATGGATATGGTCTTAAGAGTAATTTCCCCCTCTCGGAGCCCAGGTGCTATTCTGGCCCCTTGCTATTTAACTTGGCAGGCAGTTTCCTGCCTATGGCAACGCATCTGTAGATCCCTTCTCTCACGTGTTTAACTTACTGTCAACTGTTCCAAGCAGCACTGAAATGGTTTTTAAAAGATAGTGTCTTTCCACAACCAAATAACTTGTTTCACAGCGACTGTGCAAGGTCAGGAGAGAAAAGTCAACATCGATGAGCATGTATTATTTTTATATTTTTAACCTATCTGGCATCTGAAAGTGTGACAATATGCCTTGCGTTATTGTTCTCTGGGTGGATTACAGTAAAGATTTCACTTGACCTCAGATTCTCAGGACACAAGAAGCTGATTTTCTGAAAGAATTGTTTTCTACCTCTTGTGTTTAGCTGATAGATTCTTACCAACAACAGTCTGAATCTCCTTCATCATTGCCTCTTCAATGTTAGGGTGCTTTGCAATGAGGAACAGCATGAAGAACATGGTGACAGACAGGGTGTCTGGTGCTGCAATCATCATTTCCAATATGCACTGGTTCACATTCTCTTTTGTCAGGTCACCACGTTTCTGAACATTTGGAAAGGGGGAAAATTTGGGAAAGCGAATCAAAATTTCACAAAATGAGGGGAGGTGATGCTCGACGATGAAGAACTTCACAAAGATTACATGTTTCTGTGATTGTGAATATTTTCCATAATCTTCAGCTGAAAGCTGAACTATTAATAACAAATTATCTATGTACTCAGTCTTTGGGCTTTACCATTTTCATATTTTGTATTTTGCAGACACAGAGTCACTTCAATCTTAAAGTTAGGTCTTAACCAGAATGCCTAGTCAATGGGCCATTTGAGTTGGACATCATAGAAGACCTGGAGCAGATACTGAAAAGCAGACATATGCAACACGATCACGAGAGGAAATCTTTACACACCTATACCCAAAGAGTCATACACATTTGTTATGTGGGAAGTATGGTGAGCTCAGGTCAGTACCTCAGCAAAAATCAACTCAGTGGCAAAATCCAGACAGTCTTCGAGTTTGTCTGCTGTGGAAATCCTATGTCTTTTTTCCTCTATCAGAATATCCATGGCATCTTTCAAATCCTTGCTGGAAAACAGAAATGAAAATACGACCCATCTGGACTCGGTTCAGACATGTAGAAAAATGGATAAATTTACCATTTGCTTAAATAAAAATAATCTGCTTTCATTGAAACCATTAGTGCTTATGAGTAACTGAATTTATACTTAATATCCTTATAGTAAAGATAGTATATATCAAATATCCTTATGTTACATAAATGTTATACTTCATGTTAAGGAACCAGAGTTTCTAGGTATGGATAGCAAAATCAAGGCTGTAACCTCCAGTGAAGGGTTAAAAACTCGTACAAAAGCCAAGTCCAATCATGTTTTCTTATTTTTTATTTGGCCAGCACAATGTATGAATGAAAAACACAAAAGCAAACCCAGTGAACGTCCTCAGTGGGACACACACTGTCCAGTTTGCCACGGGCACCTCTGCTTTCTGTTGTCTGTATCCACCAGCACACGTCTTTGCCTGGCCCTCAAGACGATTGGGTTCGAGATTTCTGTTTTACCCAGTGAACTCAAGTGACTGTTCACTAATCTCGATATTTATTCTCACACCTTGCCGTGTCTGCCACATAATAAACACTAAGTAAATATTTGTTGAATGAATGAATGGCTGCATTAATTTGTATAGGCATTTTGACAGTGTGGGGGAGTGAAGAGCTCCTTGGACAAAGGGTCAGGTTCTAGTCCAAGTTGTTCTCTTTCTGCATAACCTAAAGACTCTGAGCCTTATGTGCCTTTTAAAGCAAAGGGATCAGACTAGATGAATGATGAGTCCACCTTGAGATCTAAATTCTGTTATTCTTGGCTTTGCCTCTATGTGTATGTGTTTGTGGGTGAGTGTGTTGTTCGCCAGTCTCAGGGAACAGCACTCTGTATCACATTAAGTGTAGTACAGACACCCACTCACGGTGTTCTGTGATGGAGAACCTTTACACTTGCCAGAATAAAAAGTAGAAAACAGCATTGCTGTATTAAAAAAAAGCAAAAATATAAAATTGAATAAATAAGGATGGGAATAGATGTTTGAGAGTCCTTTTCATAAGTACATTTTTTTAAGTATTAGGATGATAAAGGTGAATACCGTACGATCTCACTTATATGTGGAATCTTAAAAGCAAAACCAAACAAACCTGAGCTCATACATACAGAGAACAGGTTGGGGGTTGCCAGGGGTGGGGGGATGGAAAATGGCTGAAGGTGGTCAAAAGGTGTACATTTTCCATTATAAAATAATTAGGTCCTGGGGGTGTAATATACAGCATGGTGACTATAAATAATAAATAATGCCATATTGCATATCTGAAAGTTGTCAAGAGAAGAAAAGAAAAATGTTATTGAGTCAATCCTAAAAGTTTTCATCACAAGAAAAACAGTTTTAACTATAATATCTATGGCGATAGATGTTAACCACAATAATTGTGGTGATCATTTTGCAATATATACAAATACCAAATCTCTGTGTTGCACACCTGAAACTAATATAATGGTATATTTCAATTACACCTCAATACAAATATTAGCATGACTGCAAGGGCATGAAAAGGGGAAGAAATTCTTCCACAGAGGGGAAGAAATTTAAAGGGTTTCTCTAGGTCTTTACTGCCCTGTGACACAGGAGATATAAAGTAGTGCACTAACCATTGATAAATGTTATATATAGAGAGAATGTTGCTAAGCTATTTCTACAGAAACCTAAAAGAAACTGTTACACAGTCTCATGCAATAAATGTCTGTGGGCCTGCTGGTCAAGACCATGCTAAACTAATGACCAAGAACCATGACCAAATCTGACTTCAGTGAAGTGATCAATCCTTTATTTCATTGATTCTTGAATCAATAATCTCTGGTAAAAATGAAATGAAATGTGTAAAAACGAAGTCTCCAAATATCTACTTAATACTCATTAACTATATGAAAAACTATAAAGCAACATCAAGTTGGTTTCCTCCCTGGAGACTAATACTATACAATTAAAAAAATACAGAAACAGAATCAAGCTGGGTCTTCAAACAAGTTTGGAAACTTTTAGAGATGGAGGATTTAAGATGGTCAAGGACATTGGGAGAAAATATGAACAAAGGGAAAGGGCAAACTACCATATTTAGTGCCTGCTATGGCCTGGGCTAGGATTTCATCAACCTATATCTCTGCTCTGGAAGGCAGGTTCTTTTCACTTTAAATAACTTCCCAAGTCCATTTAGTTATCAAGTAGTAGAGACAGGCTACAAACCACATCTGTCTGCCTCTAGATCACACGGGCTTTCCACTGGTGATTAGAGTGGGCAGTGTTTAATAGCTGGCTACTTACACTAAAAAAAAACCCTTTGATTACCTAAGGCCATTGGGTATTTGTCCAGTTTGCAGCTAGACTGGTCTAAGACCAAAGCAAAGCCATTTAATGATGGTTTCTGGATCCCTCAAAGATACAAGATACATAACTAAAAAACAAAATTTTCAAAAACCATACGTTTTATTGAAGTCCATTATGTTCACTATGAAAAATTCTTTTGAGACTACAGTCAATTCCTACAAGTTGAATTATGTTAAATTTACTCAGAAGCAATACAATTATAAAATGGATTCCACGTTTCCATTTTTTCTGACATGCAAAGAGAATTTTGACAGATAATAATGACGTGTTCAGCCCGCCCTTCTGTTCAACTCAAAATACACTGCAGTGTTTTAGTTGCAGGTATGCAGCACTCAGACCACCCACTTGGCCCCCTTGCTGAGAAGCTGCCTTGGCCAAAGGCTTCCTTACTCTCTGGTTCAGCCCCATTCAGCCAAATTGATATACAAAGCGTTACATCAGCAACTTAATCAACATCTCCCTTGTGGGCTCTAGTGAGCAGAGAACTTGCTAAAGAGGCCAACAATAGCAAAGACACAATGAGAAAACAATCTAATATCATGGACAAATATTCCAAGCTTGTTACTTACGCAGACTTTTCATACTTTTTGTAGAGCCAAGAAATCTTAAAGAAGATGTCTGGTTTGAGAAGGAGAGATTGCCATGCATCAAAATAACCCTGTATTTTAAATATGATGGCATTTTCTGGAAAAACAAACAAACAGCAGAGCAATTGAGCAAAAAGAGCCCAAGAAGAGTACTCTGAGCAGGAAAGATACCTACCAGTCTAGGGTTCTGAGCTAGGGGGATTCCACCCTCACTTGGCGTTTTAGCTGCAGTATTGCCACTAGACAAATCAACACTAATTTATTCTGCCTGGCATCTAAATTGGCTGAGCTAATCAAAGATTTGCCAGTTTCCAACTTTGTGTTAGAGACACAGCCTAGAATCTCACATGCCCCTCTTTGGCTGAACATCCATGCCTCTCCTGTTTTTCTGGATGGTGTGGAATAAGAGGGACATTAGTAATTATGGCTGTTGTGGCCTCAGTTCTGGCACCGAGGAGGGCACCAAGCTGTGCCACTCTCCTGTTGGGAAGCCAACAGCCATATTTTAACTTCATTTTGTGCTGAGTGAGGAGACCCATTAAGTGAATAATTTACTTGTATTATGTACCTAATTAATACCTTTTTTTGTATTCTCACCTCATAGTGCTTTATTCATATTTTTTCTTAGCACTCACCACATAGCTTTCATATTTATATTCAGCTAGAATGTAGAATTCATTTTAGTATCTTCAATGCCTAATCTTGAGCCTCATGTAGAGTCAGCTCTTAATAAGTGTGTTTTAATTAAATTGAAAGTTGGAGAAGAGAAAACCCCTGCTTTCTCTGAATTATACAAAAGGGAAAGAAATAAACATTATTTTCAACGGCTAAATACCAGCCACTGTGCAAGATACTTTGCAAAATACTTCATTTGATCTCTACTGTCCTGCTAGGGAAGTGACAGTATAATCATTTGGCAGATGAAGAAACTGCAGTTCGTAGAAGCTGAGAAGCTCACCCAACACCATACAGCCAATGTGGCAGGCAGGCCCTTGGGCTGGATCCCAGTTCTGCCTGATCTCCGAACGATGTCCCTTCCTCATCATTGCACTGGGTCCCTTAGACAAACAGAGTTTAGCAAGGACCAGGTGAGGAAAAGGGAAATAAAATAACTGTGCATGACTTATGCCATTTCTTAGCATCATTGTGTGTATACAGAAGTTAAGAGAGACATAATTCCCTTTACATGATCCTTCCTAAGAATCAGGGCTGGCAGGGAACCAAGGAGCAGGGGCCTATAAAATATGTACCTGCCTAACCTGAGGAAAGATGTGTATAGAACAGGCACGCTGGGATTGGAGCCCCTGTCTGAAAGGGGATCAGGCAAGAGGCTGTGACTGAAACTCCTCAGAGTGAATGGAAGCTCCCATCCAAATGGCAGTCAGTGAGGTTTCTATGGCTCGTCTCTTTGCTCAAATGTGGTGAATCAGGCAGCAGGTGTTAGAGCTCAAGCTCAGATGGTTTGTCCTGATATCTATAATGCTTTCCCTCCGACTGTATGTGGCTTGTGGCCTCACCTTATTTAGACTTACAGGCAGATGTCCTCTCTCTAGCGCCCTTTCCTGACCACCCCCCCCATGAGGGCCCCATCCACTCCCACTGACCCCTCTTCGTTTACTGTCCCCTTGCCCTGCTTTGATTTTTCTTCAAAGCACTTTTTATCACTTAATATGTTATAGGCAAAATAATATTATTTGTTATATACTACAAGTAAATATATATATACACATGCACATTTTTACTGTCCGTATATCCACTGAAATGTAAACTCCCTAAAAGCAAGAACTCTGTCTGCCTTGTTCACTGCTCTGTCCTCAGAACCTATAACAGTTCCTGCATAAATAGACATCAATAAATGTCTGTTAAAGAGATGTATGAGTCAATGAACGCTGCTAAAAATTAATTCAGTAAAAATTACATGAAGCTAGACAGCAGCAAAATGGAATTAATCCCAATGATTAATGTTTGTGTTTAGGTGGTGGTAGAATTGCATGTATGTGTTTTAATTTTTGTTTCTATAGTATAGTGAGGAAAGTAGCATCTTAAGTAAGACATCTTGCCAGGGTTGTTTAAAATGCTTAATGGCAGCCCTGACTGGTTCGACTTAGTGGATTGAGCACTGGCCTGTGAACCAAAGGGTTGCTGGTTTGATTCCCAATCAGGGCACATGCCTGGATTGCAGGCCAGGTCCCCAGCTGGGGGTGTGCGAGAGGCAACCACACATTGATGTTTCTCTCCCTCTCTTCTTCTCTCTCTAAAAATAAATAAATAAAATCTTTTAAAAATGCTTAATGGCAGTCAATATGTAAAGCATCTTCTTATACTGCTTGGTACACAGTAGACACTAAATTAATGGTAGCTGTCATGATTGATTCCTGCATCTGCAAGTAACACTGTCATCATTGTACAGACAGTCAAATTTTCACACTGAGAGCTTTGAGGGACAGGTGTGTATGTAGTGTATTTATATCTACATATGTGTGTATATATGTGTACATGTGTGTATGTATATATCATGACCCAAAAGAATGGTTGAAGATGGTTAAATATATCAGTTTGTTTTGTGGGAGGCTATATTAATGACCAACCGAACTGATCACATTTATCGAGTTTTGACTGTGAGTAGAATTCTATTTCCCACAGCAATGAAAAGAGATATAAGAGAAATAGATGGTCCACTACTTTACAGAAATGTATATGTTATAAGTGAACAAGGCAGACACACTAGGAAAAAAATCTTGGGAAATCTTAGAGGTGTCAAAAGGAAAACACTGTGGGAAACAACAATATTTTTACGTGAGTCTCCTCTCCCTCCCACCCCTTGTTCCGTAGAGGGCAGAACGTGAAGTGGTAAGAGTGAGGATTTCAGTACCGTCCAAGGGGATCCTCAGGAAGAGCGTGTTGGAGGTGTCCAGGATGATGCAGCGCATGAGGTGCAGCACGTTGAGGCTGCCCGACTCACTTCTGACCTCCTCCAACCTGTCCAGATGCTTTACGACAGATTCAGCACAGACCGTCACCATGCGCACCAGGCTAGGGCCAGACAGAGCTGAAGGGAGCACATCAAAGAGTGGGTCATCCTGCACTCGGGGACACACACACACACACACACACACACACACGATCGGGCGCTTTTGGCTTTTTGTTTTTGAGAGCTTCATCGCCCACACTTTTTTACTCCATAATTGGGCAGCATTTTCATATTCTTTATATGCTTTTCTTATTCTCCCAATTTTCTATAAGAATGTATTGCCTTTCTTGTTAAAAATGAATGAGTGAGTTTTTTGGTAGACAAACTATTCAAAATTAAATGTTTCTTCATTCTCTGACTAATCATTTGTGAGACTGCAAGTGAAACATTTAGTGCTGTGGTCACAAATCAGTGTTGTTTTTTCATATTTATTGTATATATTTTCCTCTAGATAAGGTTTAGATTTATTTAGGGTGATACTTATTTTATGTTTCAACAGATGGCAGAATATTGCTACAGAAATAGTCAAATTGGACCTTAACTATTTTACCTAAGGTGCTTCCTTTTTAATTATAGTTTATATGTTTAAAATGCTACTCTTATAAGTTACCAAAAGTGCCCTTCTCTTTATTGAAGTTTCTCTTCATACTACTTCCAGATTCATTTTACTCAACCAATGTCATAACAGCTAAGCAATTCTTGGTTTGCTCAGCAGTCTTCCCCAACAGACTGGGACTTCTCTGAGGGCAATGACAACCTCTCATGAGCACTAGACTTCAAGTCCATAGTACATAGTGGCCCTCAAAACATGTTTGTCGAATGGAGGAATGAATGAATGGATCAGTGAATTAATGAGTGAATGAATGAAAGAAAACAGGCAGAGTGAACTGGCTTCTGATCTCACCCTGAGAATCTGACAATCTGAACAGCTAATGGCTTCTGATGCTAGGTGGTCCATCTTGAAAGGTTCTCTTAAAAGTCCCCCTTTTTCTCTTTGTTCTGAGTTTAAACTTTAGAGTAATCATATATATATATATAATCATATATTATATATATATAATAACTATATATATAGTTATTATTATTTTTACCATTCAGACTTGCTGTTAGAGTCCTTGGAATGCAAGGAAAAATACTGGGGAATTTTGTAGGCATATTCTCTCTTTAAAAACAAAACAAAACAAAACAAAAAAACAGCTTGCAGAAACACCTAAAAGAAGACAGCAAATTAAGGAAGAAGGCCTGGTGAGTGGTCTTAGACTCAAGATTTCTAGTAACGTGGAAAAAGAAAGGCTGGGTTGGTGGCGTGCTTCCTGGCTGTAGGAAGGACTTGGCAGATATGAGAGGCCAGGATGTTGTCCCCTGAGTGATGATCACATCCCCAGTGGGACAAATAATTCCTTAATGACTCAACATTTTGCTTTTAAGCATTGGCTTTGAACATCACTGGTGGTTTTCTCCCTGACTGATGTATGATTTGCCTCTGTGTCCAAGAGGTTGAAGCCAAATTTCAAATAAAATGTAATTGCTGATAGGTAGAGGTATGATGTAGATATGACTTTAATTTTGCAGTCTTCTTAAAAGTACTGAGTTTTATCTAGTTTTTAAAAAAATTGAGCAAGTAATCAGTAATTGAGCAATACAGACAATTCTCACGGCAGCTCCAGGAAACACAAGCGGTGTCTCAGCCCTCCCACTTCATCCCCAGAATGGGCTTCGTCTGACTTGAACTTAACTGTTTCTCCATAGACACACCCAGTAAGTCAATACCTTCATTAATATTATGACTTTAGATACTAAAACCTATCCCAAACTCCCTGCTATATCAGAAAAACCACCAAGACTAACTCTAAAAGAAGATTCATCAAGAAATGTGTGGGGCTCCCGCTGACCATTAAAAATGTCACAAACAGCAGTGAGTTTTCAATAAACAAGTAGCCCTTTATTTTTGGCATTTAATTTGGGTATAATTTTTTAATGTTTTCACTAGAAAATCTGATAGTCCATAGATGGGACTAGCCTGAAAAAAATCACAAATATTTTTTTTATTAACTTACAAGGACTGTGGATTCTACTCTTTTAACTTCTCTCACAGGAGTGCCCTCCCTCCATCCGCTCTGTGTCTCTGCTCTAGCTCTTTGAACTGTTCTCACTGCTCACAGTCATGCTTCCTCCAGGTTAATCATTCACTCTGGTACCAGGACAGATTTTCTAATGCAAATATGTTCATGTCACCCTGCTTAAAATCTTGAAGGATTTCCTGCAGCTTCTGAAATACACTCAGCTACTTGCCTTAGCACAGGACTTTTGGTGGCTGGCCCCACTTTCCCCTTGGCCTTACACCTTGCATGGATATGTGCAGGCATGTGTCCATTGCAAGGTCCAGGGGCCTACTTACAATTCCCTGGACAGGGCATGCTAATCTAGCCTTTTCTGCCTTGGAGTATCCTGTTTTTCCCTCCTAAGGGATGTGTCCTCATCATACTTTCTTAATTCAGGCAGTTTTCACCTTCTCTGAAAACTCGCCATAAGCATACACTCCTCTGAAAATCCTTCCCTGACCTCTCAGTGTGCTTTAGATAACCCAGTGGTCTGTGCTCTGTGCACTATGCATACCCCTCTACCAGAACACATCATTGAGGATAGTATCTGATGAGGTATTAAGTGGCCATTATAAGTTCCTTGAAGGCAGGGCCATATCTTATTTCTCATTGTCTTCTGGGCACCTAGTTCAATGATGTGAAGACAGTAGTTTGTTAAATGGATGAGTTTAGAGATCCCATTAATTCTTGAATGTCAGAATAGAGAATAAAGGTATATGATAATTTATTGTTCCTAAATACTTATTCACATATTCCTAATACAACTGGACCAAATGACAAAGTAAAAATGAAAGTTACATTTCTATAGGATCTTATAGCATTATTTCATTTATTATTCATAATAACTCTAGAATTCAAGTTCTATAGTGCTTATTACTTTTTATGGATAAGGAAACTGAAGCTCAGAGAGGCTGAGTGATTTGTCCAAGATCTTATGGCTAGTAAAGTGTCAGAGCTGGGAATCAAATCCACAACCTATAATCCTAAACCCTATATTCTTTTCATTAATCTATTCTGCAGTTTTGTCAGGCATAAGAGGATTTATCTGCCCCAATATAAATAGTAGGCAGAATGATAGTCTCCTAAGGGTGTCCAGGCCCTAATCCCTGGAATTTATTAGCATGCTACCTCACATGGAAAAGGAGACTTGGCAAGTATAATTAAATTAAGGAGCTTGAGATGGGGAGACTATTGTGGATTATCTGGGTGAGCCCGTCTAATCACTGAAGTCCTTAAAAGCGAAGAACCTTTCTCAGCTGAGGTCAGAGTCAGAAAGATATGATGGAAGGATGGCTCGGACAGATGTGATATAAAAAGGACTGGATCCACTGCTGCTATCTGTGAAGACAGAGGAAGGGGCCCCAGGTCAAACGATGTGAATGGCCTCTCAGGCTGGAAAATGCAAAGAAATAGATTCTCCCCTGGAGCCTCCAGAAAGAAACAGCCCAGTTAATGCCTTGGTCTGAACCCAGTGAGACCCATGTCAGACTTGACATACAGGACTATAAGATAAGGCGCTGTATTAAGCCACTAAGTTTGTGGCAATCTGTTACAGCAGCCCCAGGAAACCAATGCAACAGGGTCTCGGTAGAGTTGTGCTGAGTCTTGGTCATGAGCAACTCTGCAGAGAGGAACCAGCACCCAGCGGGAATAGGCATAGCTTTTCCCCTCTCAGCAGCCACATAGGAGGTGTCTAGGTCTGCTACAAGGCTGACTGGGGAAAGAACATTGACAGTGCACAGCCAGCCCTGAAATCTGTCTAGCCCCAGTTTCCCCCACTGGCAACATCTCCAAGGCACGATAATGTTCCTTGATGTTAATGTCAACGTCTGGTCATGTATATCCCCTAACAGCTTCATTTCCAGCAGAATATGGTAAACGAGGAACTCACTAGATAAGGAGGCTTCGGATGTGGTCTCCGCTCACTCATGCATTACTCTCTATGTTGGACAAAAATCACTCTTTCTAGGACTGTAAACCTCAGCTATGAAACTCTGAGGCTGGATGAGGTGACATATACGGTCTTTCCCAGTTCTAAAATTCTCTGATTTTACTCACAAATTGCTTTCTGTTAAAATATCTGGGATGTCAGTCAATGGTTCAGCACACACGTTGTTTGCTGTATTTAAATTAAACATATGGCAGATACACTCAATTCTTTTTTTTTAAATGATCCTAAGTTTAAAGCTCCATGTCTTCTTTACATCCATGAAATTGCTTTGTGAATTAACAAGAGAAACAGAATTTGTGATTAAATGTAGGTTCTAGGGTTGTCTTTTGGACTAACATTTACTAATGTAGTCATGGGCAAGTTACTTCACCTCTTTATGCCTCAGCTTTCTCATCGGTAAAGTACAGGTGATTAGAGTGTTTTACCACCTGGGGTTGCTGTGGAATTAAAATATCAAGTGTTTAGAACAGTGCCCACTGTGTAGTAAATGTTTAATGCATGTTAGCTCGTATCATTATTTCAAAACTGTGAAGCAGTGGAATTTAAGAATGATTTCCAAATAAAGGGCACTTTCATAGACAAGAGCAGAAGGTAGCCTGGCACCTGATTACCTTTTGTAAAGAAAGGTCGAACTACTTTCCAGACATCTGTGTTGTTGTTAAAGATGATGCCATTCTCATGCATGCCGATGCACTGCAACCCAAGTTTGCTGCCGAATCGGGAGATGTAGTGACTGTGCTTCATTATGTGAACCATACTTGAGGACCTGCGGAGAAAGCAAGCCTTGGTGTTAACGTTTAAGGGTCAGGAAAACTCCTGGTGATGATTTTGATTGCCGTGTAGCTCTCTTTGGCAAATGCGCGTTGATCTAAGTGCCATGCATGATTTCTAGTATTCATATTGAAAAAGCGGTTCTATTAGCATAAGAACATCCCTCTGTAGTCGTAACATTTCTATTTACTGACTCCCTGTTTGAGTGTTAGGAAGATAAGGCACACATATACACCATTTCTTATTTTCCTTTCTTCTCTAACTCCCAAATCATCAAAATACTACCCAGGTCACCAAAATATTGGGGTCAGAGCTGCAAAGCCGTTAAGAAGCTGAATCCTGCACCCCACTAGAGTTCCAAGAGCCTCCAGCCACCCAGGGACTGTCTAGCCCCACTCCAGCCACCGCTGCCCCTGCAGGAGTGAGCTTCAGAATCAGGAGTTGCCAGAATTCTTGACATCTTCTTCAGTTTGGAGCCAGCAATAAGCTTAGAGTCACTAATCAGATCTGGCCCTCCAGTGAGGTATTACTCTGGGCTTGCAGGATATTTCCTGGGCACTCCTGGCCCCAGGCTTGGCTAGCTGGGCTGGTCCTGGCAGGCTGTGTGTGGTGGTAACAGTAGCTGTCCTGGGGATGTGTGTTCCATCATGATTCATCAAGGTCTCTAGGGTCACAGAATTCTCACAGGATATAGGACACAGAGACACATTAAGTAGCTCTTGATGTAGCAACGCTGGGACTTTACCAATGACCCAGGCTTCCTCAAACTTCTCAGCTTCTCCTCCACCATTACACCTATGTCCCTGCTACCATGCTCAGCCTTTAAAGCCTGGGGAGATCCTTCAGAAAAAGGGGAAGGAAAAGGCAGCTCCTTCCGTCTGTGTCCTCCCCACCCATTTCCTTCTCTAGGAGCTGCTTCCTGCCCCCACTGCTAGTCTAATTTGGGATGATGAGGCACTGACAGTTTTATAAAATTCTAGGAAGAGGTAGAAGAGAGGATGGGGGGATAGATGGTGGTGGAAGGAGACTTGACTTGGGGTGGTGAACACACCATACAATATACAGATGATGTGCTGTAGAATTGTACACCTGAAAGCTATATAATTTTATTAACCAACATCATCCCCAATAAATTCAGTAAAAAGGAATTAAAAAAAATTATAAAATTCTAGCCTAAGAAATCATAGGGACCTACACGTGTGAAAAGAATATTATCTTCTTAGAACAGCAATATGGAATTCTTCTGTAGAGAGAGACTTATGAAAAGATGTTTTATTAAGACTTTTTAGCCCTGTCTAGTGTTCCTCATTGTACCGAGTGCCAGCCTGCCAATCAAAAGGTCACTGGTTCAATTCCCAGTCAGGGCACATGTCTGGGTTGCGGGCTGGGTCCCCATTTGGGGGCGTGTGAGAGGCAATTGATGGATGTTTCTCTCACACACCAATGTCTCCCTTTCTTTCTCCTTTCCTTCCCCTCTCTCTAAAAATAAATAAATAAAATCTTTCTTAAAAAAGACTGCCTAGTCGTTAACCTATGGTACTGGAAAGATAACTGCAATCTCGGCCTTTTTCTTTTTGAATTCAAAATTTCAGAAGGATGGATGTTATCTTCATTTTTGTCATTTTTTAAAATTTTGGTGAACTTAATATGTTTATTCAAGTTCCTGTGTGTTCACTGTGACTTTTGTCCTTTGTCCTCACTTCTGCAGTGAAACACTGTTTCTCAGCTGCACGGTCTCCCGCTGTGGGGGTTTCTGAACACACCCCCCTCGAAGGTGGTCTGCAGGGCCGTAGCACACACAGTCAGTTCCTGTGCACCCGGTTCTTACACTGGGCGGGAGTGGCCGTCTTAACGCCTGCTTCTCCCTCTCAGAGTTGATACTTGGTTCCTAAAAGGATGACTTTGCCTTTGTTTTGTTTTGTTAATGCCTGAGAAAAACAGGTTCTCAGAGAAGACATTGGGCCAAAAGCTCTTAAGCTGTGGGCTAAGTATTAGCCAAACCCTCACATTTGTGATGGATTTCATAGTCCTATTTAAAGTTTAAAAGAAAGCCCCTGAAGTAATGGCAGTACCAAGAAATGAAAACAGAGTTATTATATGAATTCTGTATTAAGTAAAATATTGTCTTGATTTTATTCCAGATAATATTCATCAGATGATCCTGAGTTTTCAACAAGTTTCCCTCACCCTAGAAATAATCAACAACAAAAAATCCAGATGCTTCTATTTATATTTCATGGAATTAATTGGACTGACAAACAGCTAAAATTCTGTCCTGTATAGAAAATCATGCCATAGAGAAGGCTGAAATTCTTATTGATTTTAGAACTCTTAGCTTTTCTTACTATCCCCTACCTTATTCCATAATTAAAGCAGGAAATAAGTAATTCGTATATTCTTTATTCACAAATTTGTATCTGAAAGTGTTTAGTGCTCAGAAGACAGTCAGGACACTGGTTTTCTGCTCTGATCCCCAGAGCTTTTGTATACTGCCTTAACCACATTGGCCTGCCCACATATTTTGAGGAATTACTGGTCAATTTAAAAAAGGGAACAAGATGCCCCAAACTGAAACCCAACCGAATGTTAATGAAGACCTAACTTTAAAAATCAGTGTGTCCTGTAGGGGGCACCAACATCTCAGTTGTTTTGAGTCAGAAGCTCAGCCTTGGCGAAGGACAAAGCTGCCAAGACTGAAGTGATACAACACGCGCAGTCCAAGCAAGCGATTTCAACCAGGTCTTTTATCAAAAGCAGGCTGGCTTTATCAAACCAGAGTAAAATGGGAAAGCGAAGAAGAGGAGGCTGGTGAAGAACAAGGAACCCAAGCCCAGAGCTCTGTCATGAGGAGGGAAAGGGAGGCCCCCCGAAGTTCAGAAGGGATAGTGGGTAGCATCAGCTGTCTGGTAACTGGTGTCATTGTTCTCCTTCAGACATAAGTAAAGTAAAATAAAAAATAAAAAGTAAAAACTAATGGAATAAGCATAACTAAAGTCAAAAGTTACCCCCACACATAGAAAACCTATTATCTATTCAAAGTGGATAGGAGCCAGGAGGTAAGTTCTTAAGTGGTCAGGAGGAGGCCATCCCCCTGCCCCGTGTCCCCGCTCCCTCTGCCATTCTGAGTTTAAAGGACTCACATGGCTGTGGCCGGTTTCAAGAGTGATCAGTACTAGAAATGTGGAGAAGACAATTAATGGAATAATTGTTCCCGACATTTAGAAATACTTGCCTTGTTTGGACCTGTTCTGTGCCTGAGGTTTATGTTCCATCAATCCTATCACCTTTTTACTGTCATTGCCCTTCTAATATCCTCACTTACCCAGCTTAAAAACTGGGGTCATTGGAAGGGGAAAAATATCTTTTTAAAAGAGAGATCTGAGCGTAACCACCCCAGCCAAGTGATCAAACTTAGTATCGTTAATGGTGGGATAGCCTTTCCTTGTCTCTTGATGTGAAGAAGTATGAAGTACCTGTACTACTCAGGAAGTATTATTACAAACATGTTTAACCTGAATCTAATTAAGCCTTAGACTAAGTTTCCATTTATAAGAAATACAGGGATCAGAGAAGTATGTTAAATGACACCATAATGAAATAACATGAGAAATTCAGAATGTGGAGCACCCTACAAGACAACTGACCTAGTCTCTTCGTAAGGTCAATGTTGTGGTGGTGGGGGGGGGTAAGGAGGGAGTGGGAGGACTGCTTTTTTAACTTTCCTGTTCATTTGAACATTTTCTCAATAGGAAGTTTGAAAAACTATGTTACTATCACTAAAATCACTTCCTTCCATGCATCCTTAGCTCCCTTGACCCTCTCCTTACTTTGTCATTGTTGCCTAGTTACCTCAACCTGGCTAAATCCAACTCTTACCTTACTCTGTGCTTGTACCTGGCAGCTGAATGGTGCTGGGAACACAACCCCCCACTCTCCATTAGGACCCCTAATGGTGGGCGGGGAGTCCTTCGTTGGTGCCCCCTACAGGACACACTGATTTTAAGCTTACGTCTTCATTAACATTCAGTCGGGTTTCAGTTTGGGGCTTCTTGTTCACTTTTTTAAATTGGCCAGTAATTCCTCAAAATATGTGGGCAGGCCAATGTGGTTAAGGCAGTATACAAAAGCTCTGACACCCACCCGACACCCCTCAGACACCCGCCTGCTGCCAGGTCTCAGTTAAATTGAAGTAGGCCCTTTAGTGCAGCTGGCAGTTCCTATTGCATTTCTCCAGTCCACTCACACTCTTCTAGATGACTGTTATATCCTGCCTCCCTTCTCTTCAAATGTGCCACTTCCTCCCTGCTCGGTCTCAGCTAAAGACTTTATTTCCACTTTTACTAAGAAAACAGAAGCAATTAAAATCTCTGCAAGCTCCACCCACCAGGATCTGTGCCCATATATTCAATCTTCCCTTCTGTTTCTCTGAAATTCCTACTTTATGGAAAACTGTTTGGAAATGTTACTTAAACCTGATGCCTCCAATTCTTCTTCCCCTCCATTCTCTAGTCCAGTCAGACTTTTGCCTCCACCACTCCCTCTCCCCACCGCGGTCATGTCAGGGTCACCCATGACCTCTCTAATTGCTATAAATGCAACATTCCAATCTCTGTATTTACATGGCATGATCAACAAGTCCCTGTCCTTAATGTATGTTTGTTACCTGGCTTTGAGACCACCATACTCTCTTGGGTCACCTTTCTCTAGCTAGCCTCCTTTGCTAGTCTCTGACTATGGTAGAGGGTCTTGTTGGACCTCAAGAAGAAATATATCTTCCAAGAAGGACTCCTTGTGGTTAACTGGGCCCAAATTCATAATCAGAATCTAGCAGCCATTGTTTACATGTTAACTGCATGTCAGGGAAAAGCCACAGACTGAGCTGCCAAGCCCCCTGCACTGTGTCCCTGATCCCTGAGCCGTCTGGTTTGCTTGGGGCTGTCCCGTTTTAGCATTAAAAGTCTCACATCCTGGGAAATCCATAGTCCCAGGCAAACAGATGGTTGGTCACCCTCCTGATACACTATACATTTTACTTATTTTACTTATTTTGGTATATCAACAATATGATGATATATTTATGACTGTAGGGAGTTTTTGGCTGATTTGTTGATGATACCCAGTGTACACAGAAGTTCTCAATAAGTATTTAATGCATAAGTAGAGAGGCAATAATGATTGTAAATTAGGATCATCCAGTACTTAGTATATGGTAAATTCCAATGTGTTTAAAGAATAAATAAAAAAGAAAACTGTACTTGAACAATTAAAAATAAGAAATGAAAAAATAAAGAATAAATAAATTCCCTATAAATTTATACATATTTAAACATGTACTACGATAACCCTAACTGGTATGTTAATTGCTAACATATGTGCAAATATGAGCCTAATTAGCATGTCAGTTGCTTATTCTGCTTTATGGATGCTAGCCACTTTTTTTTGTATTCATGATGAAAAATAATATATATATGCCGCATAGTATCATGCGCAACTTTTGTAGACCCTGGTTACTGTAGCATGTACCTGCTCTGGGAATTGTGCATGCTTTATCTGTTGATTAGATGGGCCTTCCCCAGAGCCCAGAGATGCTCAGGCCACATCCCAGCGGCACTTGTGGCTGCCCTTCTCCACTGCCCACCCCAACCCCACCTCCTTCTCTGAAGTTCTGCACCCCTCACCACTTCAGGATTAAATTGGTTAGAAAAGTTGGGTCATAATCTCTACACAGTTATAATAATTTCAGATCTCAAACTCTGCAAAAGAACCCTGGCTGGTGTGGCTCAGTGGATTGAGTGCTGGCCTGTGAACTGAAAGGTCACTGGTTTGACACCCAGTCAGGGCACAGGCCGCGGGCCAGGTCCCCAGTTGGGGGCGTGTGAGAGGCAACCTACTGATGTATCTCTCATACACTGATGTTTCTCTCTCTCTCTTTCTCCCTCCCTTCCCTTCTCTCTATAAAATAAATAAATAAAACCTTAAAAAAAAAACAAAAGAAAAAAAGATCTGGCAAACTACTCAAAGAAAAATAAAAGGCTTTCTGAGGCCCAATGGGATCTTTTTAAGAGGTACAGGTAGTTCTGGAAGGGACCCGAAGAACAGGCAAGGAAAGAAGACAGGGACAAACATGTCCTAGTCCTGCAGGGGGGCTCAGCCCTTGACAAAATTGAGTGGCTCAGAGGCAATTAAAAAGAACACAAAGACTCCAACCAGTGAAAAGCCTACGAGGACAAGATAGTGAAAGAACTGGGAGAGCTGGGGGAAAGGCAGGATGGGTTGTGTCCACTTCTCCAGCACAAATCAGCGCCTGGCTTGGGCAGGTTGCTAAGGCGACTTTCCTAAGTAAGAGAGCAGGGTGGTCAGATGCTACCCATCCCTCACTGTAATGAGGGTCCTGCTTCAGGAACTGGCTTTGGGCTTCCAGGGAATTTATCTGGTGGTTTAAAGCATCTAGAATCTAAGAGGATTTCTATGCTAGCCCCCTGGTCCTTCCTTACATATATCATTCTTCACTTCAGGTCTCATCTTAACAATACCACCACCTGAGCTAGACCTAAGGGTAGCACGGTGAGACGGAACCCCACTCCAACTCCATTTAGCTCTTTCCTTCAGACTACGCAAAGGCCTCTCTGTTCTGGAAGCTTCTTACCTTCTCTCCTCTCTCAAGCACCTCAGCACATCGGAACCACCTGGAGAGCTCTGTACCTCACCTGTCCACTGGGGGAGATAGGTGACAATGAGGGCAGACACTGCCTCGAGGGCTGGAAGGCCACTTGCTGTGCTGGGGGATTGGAGAGCAGGAGTGAATGTTCCAGTCCCTCAAGCCAAAATGTCATCATCAGTCCCAGGACATTTTGGAGATGGCAGCCGGTTGCAAAAGTGAGTATTGATTTATAAAATGAGAACATAAAAAATTCACTTACATTTGGCTGACCAGAGTTCAGTAGCCCAAGAAAAGTGAAATCCAAGAGCAATCGTGGTCCAGCCATGGCAGCACGGTTCTCAAACTTGAGTGTGCCCCAGAAATCACCTGGAGGGCTTGTGAAAACACGTCAGTGGGCCCCACTCCCAGACTTTCTTGTTCAGTGGAGCAGGGGGGGACCCAACAATGTGCATTTCTAATGAGCTCCCAGGTGTGCTGATGCGCTGGTGGAGCAGCCCCAGTGTGAGAAACATTACATTAGAGTGGTTTCACAATGAACCTAATGAAATGACATCTCCACCTGAAGCTGTTTATACTTAGTTCATAAACATGGTCTGCTTCAACAGTGCCACAACAGCAAACTTAAGAAACAGAAAAAAAACAGGAAAACATGAGGTGTTAGACTGGTCCAAAATAACATTATGGGATACTTCGAAATATTTGGAAGGATAATACATTTTTCTCTCTCACTTCCTTCTTTTGAATATTTGGTTCAAAGAATTGGGCTTTGAGGATACCATGGTATTTTATGAAATGACAAATGTAAATCTCGGCCTGAAAAAAATTACAGTAGTTCCCAGAAATACTTTGCTTTACTTCTGGGTGATAGTCAATCAGTAAAACTTTAGACACCCTTAGTTTTTGAGTGAAGCCCCATTAGGGATTCTAAATATAAAAATTCACTAATGAGACAGTGTTGGTAGATAGTTTTGCTAAAAATCTAGTAAAGATAGCTGAAAGTCTAGTCAAACATGCTCTCTCTGAAATTCTCCATTTTCTATAATTACTAAATAAGAAAACTAGAATTTCACAAAGCTAGTTCTATATAATCAGTGACCATTTGGTTAATCCTCCAGTGAATTCATCCTGCCAGAAATTATGATTTCTTTTAATAGACAGTCTCGTTCCCGCTTTATTTAGGATCACTCAACCAGGACACTGGCATGCAGTCATGAATAGGATAGTGTCGTGCGGATGGCTTCTTGTTCTACTGTCTACCCTTCAACAGGTGCCCAGCAGCCTGGCACTAGAAACACAACAGCAAACTGGCACAGTCAGATTTTTTGTTTCAGGCATGATTTATTTATTTAGAAAGGGGAAGGGAGGGAGGAAAACATCGATGTGAGAAACGTTGATCAGTTGCCTCTTGTATGAGGAGAACAAACCCTCAACTCAAGCACGTGTCCTGACTGGGAACTGAATTGGTAACTTTGCTTTGTGGGGTGACACCAGTTATAGGGATCAGACCCAAGTCTTAGGAAAGCAGAAAAGATATTGTCACTCTCTAAAGTGTGTTTTTTTCCAAAAGCAAACCATCTGGATTCTATACATTCTTAAGACAATTTCTGAAGAATACTTACCCAGCTTTCCCAGAGTTCTTTGTCTATGAATCTCTTTCTTCAGGCAAAGCCCATTCTCCCACTTGTTTACAGTGTTAGGTTGCTACTTAGGAATGCCCCCCTCTTACTGAAGGAGTACAAACATAGTCTTATGAAAAAAGATGCCCAGATGTCAAAATAAGTTTGTTTGTTTGTTTTTTAGTAGGAAAACCCCCAGCTTCTTCTTTCAAGATTGAGCTCTGTTAGCAGACTTACTTGCTGATAATAAGTGTTTCCTCTCCAGAAATCCAGACTCTCACGAACTCTCCATACATCTTGTTGTAGTAGTTGCAGGCACTGCCGATCCCCATCCACAGGAACCTGAAGTGGGAAATGAGGGGCCCAATTCCCATACAGTAGCCAGGACCTAGGAAAATCATCAAATCACAGTCAGCATTCGGTGACACCAAAGAGAGCAACTGCTTTCTGTCGCTGCTGTTCTTATCCTTTTATGCCTAAGTGTTCTCTCACATCTTCTAATGTATATCTGTGAATAACTTTAAAAAATTTTAAATAAACCAGTAAGGTTAACTAGAAACTCTTTACTCCACCAGCCCTGGCTGGTGGTGTAGCTTAGTGGATTGAGCGCAGGCCTGCAAACCAAACAACTGCAGTTCGATTCCCAGTCAGGGCACATGCCTGGGTTGCAGGCCAGGTCCCAGCAGGGGACGCACAAGAAGCAACCATACATTGACATTTCACTCCCTCTCTCCTTCCCTTCCCCTCTAAAGATAAATAAATAAATTCTTAAAGGAAAAAGAAAAAAAAGAAACTCTTTACTCCTCCATGAATAAGATCTAATTCACTGTCCAGACCATGCTAGTTCCATTCGATCTCAGTCATTTTCATCTGAATGAACAAGGGTATGTATCCAATATTTTCTTGCCATGTTAAATGGTGTAAATGAGTTTCAAATACAAGTCAGTGAGTCTGTCTAGTTATAAGCGTAGAAACCAGGAAAAGTGACAAATTGACAAATGTGTTTGGCTGCCTATTTTTGTCTGAAAACTTTTGGTGTAAATCCCCCAGTTGACCTAATGGGTGGGTTAGAATGAAGTTGTAGTTTTAGTGTAATCTTTCTAACTGAGAGAACCATGATCTGCAAAGATAATGCACAAAGAACACCCTCCCCCCCCCCCCCCAAAAAAAAAGGCCTTGGTTTAAGAAAAGAATCTTAAGCTAAATCTCATTAGGCAAAATAAAACTAAGACTTGAATTAGACAAGGAGTGCAACCCATGTTTAGACTAGTTTCAGTCCAGTGACGTAGGTGGTTTTGCTCAGACGCTGTTATCCTTGCTCATAAGGACACACACAAAGTTTTAAAGACACAACTCCAGTGACAACAAGGGAGTCTGACCTTGTTTACATCAGAGACCAAATCTGGTAGCTTGCTTTTACCAGGGGTGGTAAAAAGTTACACAAAAGCTTTTTGGAATGGTTTGAGGAGTTTATTTCTAAAGGAGTAGCTCTTCTAAATCTTTCTCCTTTCAGTCCACTCTGTCAGTGAAATAGTTATAAAGCCGAAACACACACAACTGTGTGAGGCAGTGCTCTCACTCTATGGGCAAGAGTTGTATAGTAATAATCTAGATAATCTAAGCTTCTCCTTGAATCAGATGAATTAGGTGTTTAGTTCCAAATTCAGCAAAGTTTAGTTTAACTATGTAATAGCTGCATTACTGTGGACGAGACTGTTCACTTTTGTTCTTTAATGTAAAGGACTTTGTTTATATTTATAGGATGGAAACATTTTGAAAGTGTTCTCTTAATCTTATGATTGTTCTAGTAACACTATACATAGATGACTGACTTTACAGAAAATTGTTTCATTAAGTTCTTAAAAAGATTTAAATATGGAAATCTGATTGAATGGGTACCTGTTCTCTTGCTTACTTCCCTAGACTGACATCCTGACTCAGGGTCCAAGGGAGTTCTACCACCACCTTCAGCATAAACCTCTGGGGGGACTTGTTTAAAATGCACCCACCTCACCTCCACTATTCACAGACCCTGACCTGGGTGGGAGCCCACTGGGGAAGAAGAAATCCGGTAAGAAAGGATTTCAAGTTAAAGACCATGGAAGAATCTTCCCTCAGACCCCATCAGGGAGGAGAGAACAAAATTAACTAAACGTTCTGATAAATTGGACATTGAAGTAACTTAAAATACCAGGTTGAATCAGGTAGAGAGACAGGCAGTTCTCTGAAAATTCTTAGGGTCCAGGCACAGGGCATTGTGCACCAGCCCCACACTCCCAGTCCAGATCACGCTGTGATGGGGTCCCCCGCACTTGGAGGTACGTGATGACCGTGCTCCTGAAACACAGCCTTACCGTATAGCTTATGGGATTGGGTGCAGATGCCTGCCATGAGGAATTTTCACTGAACACTAAAGAACTAGTCTGATATTTCTCATTCATTCTGAATTAATCCGATAGTGGTGGAGTGGTGGGGGTTTCTATTGAATTTATCCAGGTAATTATATCATAGTTTACTTTTGATTGACCCACAAATCTCGTTGAAGATTCTATCAGGGTGTGACATTCCAAGGGAATTGTAACCCCCCCATTCTTTTTCCACTGCCCAGGTCTCATCCAGTCACCCCCACTCTAAGTATAAAAGAAAAGGAAGAGTGGAATAAAGAGAAACCAGGGAGACCGCATGCATGAGGCAAAGTGGGGAGAGGAGAAAAAGGTGTAGGAGGGCATTCCAGAGACTTTTTCACCTTCAGAGCAAAATTGGGATGAATTTGAATCCAACAACCAAACAAAAAAACACCAGGAATTTTACCTTGCTCCTTCTCGTCTCAAATTGACCTTGAAAAGTTTGTGCCAGCTCTACTTCACCAAAGCTGAGCGCAGAGTAGAAGGAATGATCTAAGCTATTTTTGAAACACTATCATTTAAAATGTGTAGACTATTAGCATACCACTTTTCACCTGAGTCTTCATTTGCTATTGTTGCTGTGGGCTTCAGCCATCTCCTCTGTCTGTTCACAGCATTTTCTTTACCTTCATAAACTGAAAGTCCAAGTAAACAATCTCCTCAGATAGAAAACACCATGATGACTCACCTGGGATTGAGGAGGTGTCCTCATGATTCCAAACCAAAAGAAGAACCCCAGTGAGCAGCAGGATTGGCATGGCAGCGACAGGCACAGCGTCGGGCACCATGCTGGTGATGTTGTACTGCATTGGGTTCAGCATTTCCAAAACCATATTGTGTTCCTCAGGCTGACAGGAAGTGGGTTGAAGTCCTGTGGGAATCAAAGAGGCTGAAAAATTAGAGAATCCTCCAAAAGGTACGTCTAGGACTCTTGTTGCTTCAGAGGATGCTATATTGTAGAGAGCTGTCCTTCCTTTTATAATGTGATTGGACGCTTAGACAAGACACATTTGACCCATATGCACAAGTCAAAACAAACTTGATCGGCAAACATTCTCTGACCTTCGGAGAGTCTCAGGTTCATTTACACTCTTGGTCTGATAGAATCTTATCATTTTGGCCTTGAGTGGGTAGAGTGACTAAATTTCCAACTGAAGCCAAACTTATTACAAAATACAAGAAAATGAAGCTTATTCCAGAGATGGAATCATCTTGTGAGTTCATCAGCAGATTTTGTTTAGGCAGTCTTTTCCCCTTGCAGCCAAGCCAATTTTTAGAAAGAAATCCCTAACACCCTTCCATATTCAAAATCACTTTTCCCAAAGAATATGGTTCTTGGTCATAGGGAGGCATTTGCAGAGCGCCCCCCCCCCCATTAGGTTGTCTATGGAATTCGTTGACTCATTCAGGACAAGTGAGGCTTTAGATCTCTTGCATCACAGGCTGGTTTAAGCAGTGCCCATGCGAGCCAATGCCAGTGGGGGTGGAGACAGCAGTAGGGGACGATTGTGCAAAGCCTTGTAGGCAGATTAAAGATATTAGAATTTTCCCTAAGAGAAATGAGAAGCCACTGAAGGGCTTTAAGCAAGGGGCCAACAAACAATTAACCCATGCCCACTGTTTCCTTTCCTTTCTAACCATTTCTTCTTAACTCTCGGTGTTTGCTTCAACTACACTCATGATTCCAGGCTCTCAGAGGTTCCACAGGAGCTCCCTGCTGCCCAGCCCCAGCTTGTTATCTTCATCTTTGTTCTTCCTGATCTTACCCTGTGGCATTGGACCGATTTGGCCATTCTTCTTGAATCTTCTTGTCTATGGTTGCTGTGATAGGCTTTGCCTTTTCTCCCACTGTTCCTTCTTATTCCTCTGTACCTGTTCTGAGTTGCCTGCAATCCCCAGACTAAGGGCTTTGCCACCATGCTTCTTACTTCTTTTGAGAACTCATTAGTTTTCCGGACTCTAGCTCTCACTACCATTTGGGTCTCCCTGCCCACACTATTTCCTTCTTGGGCTTGTTCTCTCTCTCTCTCTGTCTTTCCCACATACAAACAAAAGTTTATTTAGAAAGTTACAGAGGTAGAAGAAGTGAGCAATGGAAGAAGTGAGCAATGGAAGAAGTGAGCCACCCGAGCTCATGGGCTCAAGAAGCAAGTTACAGAGGCAAAAGCAGTGCCCTTGGAGCTTAGGAAAGAGCCAGAGAGAGTGCACCTGGGGGGTGGGGAGGGGTAAAGGCATAGGCATGAGAGAGAGAGCGAGAGTGCAAGCTTTTATTTTTCTTCTCTGTCTTTCGCTCTGTATCCAAAGCCCCAAATGCATAGTGAACATCACCACTTAGCTGTCTCACCATCACTTCACACTTCTGTCTAAAACCAAATTCAGCTTTCTCCTAGTATCCATATCCCACTTCAACCTTTGTATGCATCAGTTTCCTAGTCGTTCAACTTCAAAATCTCATTTTTTACTTACCCCTTACTTTTGTAACCTATACCCCTCATCCCAGCCTAAACATGTCCAGTCACAAAATTCTAAGGACGTTCCCTAAAAAAAATGTCTTGTTCTGTACTCAAGGTAGTTTCCTGAACTTCCTTTGCTCCTGGTACACATCTCACTTTTTACAAATTGAGAAAAGTTTACCCATATGCGTGTTCTGTGATGTGATTTCTGTGCCCTGGCCCTGGGGTCGTGGTCCTGGAGGTTCCAATCATTCTTCCCACAAAACTTCCAAGTGAGTCACTGGAAATGTCTCGTACTGAAGCAGGAGAGACATAACAGGAACCAAAAAGGGAAACCCAGAGAGATCAACGTTGTGTGGTTGGTGTGGACTTCTCTACAGGACACCAACCGCCAGGAGACCTCAGTCCGCAGCGTACCAACCATGCAAGAAAGACTACTGACCATGTATAAAAGGCAAGCTGCCCTCTCAGGAAAGTGCCCCAGCAGCCCAAACCCATATTTCGCACGAGCAGGCAGACCCGGAGTCCTTGGGCACCAGGCAGCACCGGAGCTTTTGTGCTCATCTTTGAGGTCCCGTGACTTCAGCGCATGTTTGTGGAAACTCCTTTCTTTGCAGTAACTTACTGACCTCACCCCCTGAAGGCCTGGCTGCCCTTGTACCTGAGATTTCATTTCTTGTCCCTTCGAGGGTGACTTCTTGTCACTCCGATACCTAGATCCATTGTCTTCCCAATGGTATCTGATATTATCTCATAAAAGAGTATGTTTTAAAGTATAGTCAGCAGTGAGCAGCTGAAAAGCCTTCTAGACCTTGATCACTAAAGGCCTTTCAGGCCATAAGCCAAGGGGTGGGGTGCGGGGGATTGTGGGATCAGAGGTCCACCATGGGGCCCTCAAATCCTGTGGTGAAAGGGCTGCCCGACGCCCGTCCGTTTTCTCACCGGCTGGCTGAGCCCGTCTCATGGAGGAGGCAGAAGGGGTGAGGCTGGGCATCATTCCTGTAGCAACAGTCATTTTTCTCAGAACGCTGCCACCCCCTGACCTTCAATTCAGTTTTGCAATACCTAACTCACATGACAGCAAAGGAGAAGAGGTAGAAGGATTTTTCAGTCCAATTTTGCCTTTTAACCTGAGGGAAAAGGTAGAAGTAACAACATCACTTCTGAGGATCTGAGGCTGGAGGTCCTGAGTTCATGCCTCAGCTCTGTGGCTAAACAGCCCTGTGACCTGGTTCACTTCCCAGGCCTCCCTGAGCCCTGATGAGGTAGTGAGTTCCCTCTACATCAGGACACTGAAGTTTGTGTTAAAGTGAAAGTCCCAGAGTTGTGCACCAGTGGTGCTTGCTGCAGTTGCCCAGGCTTTAAGGTCTCTGTGGTACTTGGAGTTGTATGACTCTGACTCTAGAGCAACAAAGACAGGTCCCCAAGTGGGGCTGCTTAGGGTAGTCCTGATGCCACCAGCCACAGAGACCACCGAACCTCTTTCTCGTGACAAGATCCAAACTCACTCCTGAGCCTTGGTGTCCAAGATTTATCGTTCTGAGATCCCCAGAAGCCTTGTTTCGGCTCACTCTGCTCTTATAAGGGGTATAAAAAGCCAGCCCCGGAAGGAACACACCTAGCCGCCTCAGCAATGAAATGTCTTTCATCAGTAAGCACAGCATGAATTCCTCCAAGGTGCTCTCACATCTTGTTTATCTCTAGGGCTCCTATGGAGGCTACTGCAAAGACCTTGGACATCTAAGTGCTCAGCAAATGTTGGCAAACGGATAGAGTGAGCAGGTTAAGTTTTTCAGGGATGAGGTCATCCACAAATGATGCATTCACATGACCCCAGAGAAATATTTTCTTATTTTATCTGAATTCCAGCGTTCAGCAATGCAGTGGCCCCTAGCCATCACCCAAACAGTCAGATAACAGCAGTATTAGTGGCCTTTTCTTGTGAATTTATCTGTTGTTTGATGAACAAGCTGTGAGGCCACACAGATGGCCTAGAGTAAGGCCAGTCTCTGGCAAGGGAGCCACTGACTGACCCCACTTGCTGGGCTTACTTAACCTCTCCGGACTCCCTTTCTTTATCTGTAAAACAAGGGGATCGGGCCATATGACCTCTTCTAGCTCTGAGTCTGATAGCCGACGTCCTTGTCCGTTAGCAGGTCCTCTCCTGCAGGCCCCCCCACTACCCGGGCCCTTCTTCTCCTTCCTCCATTGTCTCCTTCCGCACCACTGCCTTAGGCCGCCCAGTGGTGTCTATGGGCCCAGGTCCCAGGGCCACACTGGGATGTCAGGGAAGTGGGGCACCAGTGGCCAGGAGCTCTCTTCATTCTCTTAGAGCCTGGGACCCATTCTGAGAACCTAACGAAAGCTGTGGAACAGCGCCCTGGAGAGATACACTCGGAAGTGAACGAGCAGTGCTTTGGATACAGTTACGGGTTCCGGTGCCCGGAGGCCCATGCACAGACTTCAGGTGAATGGCTCTTGGGTTTTCTTTTCTTCATCCTCCATCTCAGGTTTCCAAAGCCCCAGAAGCTCTTTCCAGATCAAAACCACCTTCACTAACCCATAGAGTGTGGTGTCCAGGTTGTAAGTGAATGAAATTTTCCTTGGGCATTTTACATTTCACAGGGACCTTGAACACAGGTGAAGGTTTATGATAAGGTGATAGATATGCAGCCAAGGGAGCCCAGGAAAAAGATTTACGGGGAGAGTAAGGGGCACGCCTGATGCCCTGAGGCCCCATCTGTGGCTGCCGCACACTGACACTGTTCAAGGCCACATGTTAGCCCTCAGTGGACATGAAGGCTCACAGGATCTCTGGGCTTCTGCCATGGAGGGTCCCACCTCATTGGAAACACATGCACATGGACACCACTGTGTTGAGTCCCAAAATGTGCTACCTTCAGAGTCCTGGCCACTGTACGGCTTCAGAAATACAGCAACAAACAAAATGAGGTCCTTGCCCTTAAGGTGTTCATTTGGACAAGACAGAGCCACCCATGTTACTTAATATAAGTCAAATTACAAGTGTTTAATCAGAGGCATAGACAGCTATGGGAGAGAGGGGAAAATCCTTATCCTGGGCAAGTTGGGCATGACTTCATGGACACAGGCTGCTAAGCCAGGACAAGCGGATGAGGGAAACTGGGGCAGTGCGGCAGCAAAGCAGCTTACAGCAGGCTAGTAAATGGCAAAATCCTGTCTTCCCTAACCAAGGACACTTAAGAGTTAATGGTTTAAACTTCTGCTCCCTAACCCTAGGGCAAATAGCTTAAATCACCCTATTCAGGGAGATGGATAGTAGAAATCCAATTAGTGTCCTGTGTGCCAACCACACTCAACCACATTTCATCCTTAACAGATGGAGTTAAGGGTAGAAATCT